TAAACTCTAACCAGGCTATTTTGCTTTCCTTTGTGTATGGCTACAGATATTAACTAGACAGAATTAGAAAATTTCAATATATTAGAGAAACTCTATCACTACCACTAGTAAAACAGTTCAAAATATATGCCTAGGCCAGGTGGGGTGGCTCACTCATGTAATCCTAGTACTTTGGGAGGCCAAGGTGGGCGGATTGTCTGAGCTCAGCAGTTTGAGACCAGCCTGGGCAATATGGCGAAACCACTTCTCTACTAAAAATGCAAAAAGATTAGCCAGGCATGGTGGTGCACACCTGTAATCCCAGCTACTTGGGAGACTGAGACAGGAGGATTGCTTGAACCCGGGAAATGGAGGTTGCAGTGAGGCAAGATTGTGCCATTGCACCCCAGCCTGGGTAACGGAGCAAGACTCTTAACTGGAAAAAAAAATAGGAATTAGTAATAGCATCTAACATAGGAGTTACTAATGACATCTTAAGATATATTTATTACTTTTTTCCTTTTCTGTTATTTTTTTATTGAGGTGAAGTTCACATAACATAAAATTAACCATTTTAATGTTAACAACTCAGTGGCATTCAAGTACATTCACAGTGTTGTACAACCACTACATCTGTCTTATTTCGCAGACATTTTCATTAGCCCGAAAGGAAACCCCACTCTCCATTCCATCTCCTCAGCTGCTGGCAACCACTAATCTGCCTTCTGTCTCTATGAATGTTCCTATTCTGGGTATGTTCATAAATGGAATCATACAATATTTTGTGTTTGGCTTCTTTTACTTGGCAAATGTTTTCAAGGTTTATCCGTGTTGTAGCATGTATCAGTACTTCATTCCTTTTATGGCTGAGTAATATTCTATTTTGTGTATATATCACAATTTGTCCATTCATTCGTTGATGGACATTTGGGTCATTTCTATCTTTTGGCTATTGTGAATGGCACTGTTAGGAACATGAATAAACATGGATTTGTTTAGTACCTGTTTAATTTTCTGAGGAGCCACCAAACTGTTTTTCACAGAGGCATTACCATTTTCCATTCCTACCAGCAGTTTATGAGGGTTCCGTTTTCTGCACATCCTTGCCCACACTTGTTTTTTGTTTTTTTTTTGTTTTCTTCATTATGTCCATCCACATGGGTGTGAAGTGGTATCTTGTTTTGGTTTTAATTTGCATTTCCCTAATGACTAATCATATTAAGCGTCTTTTAAAGTCCTTAGCCCTTTTTTAACTGGGTTTTTCATCTTTTCATTGTTAAGTTGTAAGAGTTCTTCTTGTATTTTAGATACTAGACCCTTATTAGGTAAATAATTTGCAAATATTTTCTCCCTTTCTATGTTTTTTTTTTTACTTTCTTGATAATGTCCACTGATGTTTTAAATTTTGCTGAAGTCTAATTTATCTATTTTTCCTTTGGTTGCACATAGTTTTGTTGTGATACCTAAGAATCCATTGCCAAATTCAAGGTCGTGAAGGTTTATCCTTATGTTTTCTTTGGAGTTTTATGGTTTGAATTCCTATCTTTGAATTCATCTATCAGTTTTGAATAATTTTTTATATGATGTGAGACAAGGGACCAACTTCATTTTTTTGCATCTAAATATCCAGTTGTCCCAGGACTAGTTGTTGAAGAGAGTATACTTTTACACTGAATGATGTTGGCACTCACGTTGAAAATCAATCAGCCATCAATGTATATAGGTTTCTGGATTCTTGGTGTTTTTCCATTCATCTATATGTCTGTTTTCATACCAGTGCCACAATGTTTTGATTACTATAGCTTTTTCTTTTTTTTGAGACGGAGTTTCGCTCTTGTTACCCAGGCTGGAGTGCAGTGGCGCGATCTCGGCTCACCGCAACCTCCGCCTCCTGGGTTCAGGCAATTCTCCTGCCCGGTGGCTCACGCCTGTAATCCCAGCACTTTGGGAGGCCAAGGCGGGTGGATCACGAGGTCAAGAGATCGAGACCATCCTGGTCAACATGGTGAAACCCCGTCTCTACTAAAAATACAAAAAATTAGCTGAGCATGGTGGCACGTGCCTGTAATCCCAGCTACTCAGGAGGCTGATTACTATAGCTTTGTAGTAAGTTTTAAATCCACAAAATATGAGTCCCTAATTTTGTTCTCTTTTCATTATTGTTTTGGCTACTTGGGACCTCTTGGAGTTCCATATAAATTTAAAGATTGACTTTTTCAGTTCTGGAAAAAAAAAAACCCATTGGAATTTTGATAGGGATTGCATTAAATCCATAGATTGCTTTGGGTAGTATTGCCATCTTAACAATTTCAGATCTTTTAATCAATGAACACAGGATTCTTTTCTATTTTAATTTCTTACAGCAGTGTTTTGAGTTTGTAGTATACAAGTCTTTTACTTCTGTAGTTAAAGTTATTTCTAGATGTTTTATTTGTTTGAATGCTATTGTAATTAGAATTATTTTCTTAATTTCAGTTTTAGATTGCTTATTGCTGGTGTATACACACACAACTGAATTTTGTGTGTTGATCTTGTACTCTACAACTGTGATTAATTTACTAACTCTAGTAATTTTATTGTCGATTCTTTGGGGTTTGTGTTATTTTTGTTTCCTGACTATTGTAATGTATCTGTGGTCTTTGCTTAGGAATCAGTATGTAAAACTGTATGTAGTTTTTCATTTATAACTTCCTAACTTATCTTGCCTTTGTACTTGTTCCCTTGTAGTCTGTTCACATAACAGCTAGAGGAGCCCTTTAAAATAATTGATGAGGTCGTGCCATGCATGTATAAAACCTTCTACAGGCTTGTACATTTGAGTAAAAGCTTAAGTCTTGACAAAGTACTGCAGAGCTGTCTGATCTGCCACTGACCAGTTGTTTACCACTATACCTTTGTTTATTCCCATCATAGTAACCTTGGCTTTCTTATTAGAGCAATCCATCTTAAGGCCTTTTGTATTTTCCTTCTCTGTATGGAGCCCTATTCCCTCAAACATTCCAATGTTTGTTCTCTGTTTCCTTAAGGTCATCTCCTGAAGTGTCATCTCCTGAGAGTCTTCCCTGACTGCCCTACCTAAAATAACACTTAACATCATTCTTTATCTCCTTACTCTATTTTTCCTTGAAACCCCTTCTCTGACTTTATGCAGAACAGAAATTTCCCGAAGATAGGTATTTTGTCTGTTGTTCATCACTGAATCGCCAGGTCTAGAATGGTGTCAGATATAATAGGCACCTAATCAGTACTTGTCAAATGAAGGAATGAAAGTTTCCTCAAGTAAAAGGAAAAAGAAGCTAATATATACTCATGAGCCAAACGTTATTCTAGGCATTTAATATATGTTTGTCACATTTAGTCTTCATAAATTTATGAGAATAGATATTATCTCCGTTCATCAACAAAGAAACAGATACTTAAAAAATTAAATAATTTGGCATAGCTAGGATTTGAAATCTGGTCTGTAGTACTTGATTCCAAAGCAAAGGCTTTCTCTACCCTATTATTTAAAAATTATTAAATGTTCTTTGTACTGCAGAGAATACAAAGATAAACTATAAATAGTTATTTAAATTAATTAAGTATATAAGTTAGTATTTAGGCTGGGTGCAGTGGCTCACGCCTATAATCTCAGCATTTTGGGAGGCCGAGGAGAGTGGGTCACCTGAGATCAGGAGTTCAAGACTAGCCTGGCCAACATGATGAAACCCTGTCTCTACTAAAAATACAAAAAATTAGCTGGCCCTGGTGTCTGGAGGCAGAGGCAGGAGAATCGCTTGAACCTGGGAGGCGGAGGTTGCAGTGAACCGAGATCATACCACTGCACTCCACCCCGAGCGATTGAACAGGACTACGTCTCAAAAAAAAAAAAGTTTTTATATAATTAAATTCCAAATGAACAATACTGTCAATAAGTTTTATACTTATTTGGAAAATCATTAGGCGAAATGGAAATGTTTCTCATACAGTAGGCTGAAAACCAAATGCATCAATTCAATGAATTTGTGAACAGATAAGGATCTGGATCTTAAATAATAAGTAGAATTTGAATTAGTGGAGAGAAAGAACAAGGCCGTTTTAGGTACAGGGAACAACATAAGCAAGTGTGAAAAGCAAACTTATTAAAAGGATAATAAAATTCATCAGGAGCCAAGAGTTAATATTTTAAGGGTGCTGTGAGATAAGTCTGGGAAAAGCGAGTTGGTGATTAGATTATAAAGAATTTGAATTGTGAGGCTAAGGTATCTAAAGTATTTGAACATTATAATTACTGGAGAGCCATAGAATAATAATGATATTGAACATTTGTTTGGGCATAGTGCTTAAGAGTATGAGCTTTGGAGCAAAATTGTGTTCAAATCCTGTCTTAGCTCAGTAACTAAGCTAATGACTTAACCTCTAGTTCCATTGTGCTCTAGTTTCCTAATCAAATGGAGATAATGTTTTTTTAACTCAAAGAGCCATTGTCATGGTTAAATGAATTATCAATTATTGTATGTAAAAATGATGAAAACAGTGCTTAGCACATAAAGTAAGCCTTCTATAAATATTAGCTATTGTCATTTATATGACATTTAAATTTTCACACCACTTTCATGTGTACTGTTTCTTTTCATTTTCATGGCGACTCTGTGAGGTAGGTGTTACTTTATCTGTTTAATAATGGAGTAAATGAAGCCAAAGACATTTTGTCATGCTGGATCCCCAGCTGGCAGAACTGATCACTTGATTCTAAGTCATTTCACCGTGATTCTCTACAATCTAAAAAAAAACTAGTGGAACAATGGGATGACATGCTGAAAGTCAAGTTTTAGGGAAATTATTCTAGTGACAATCTACAGAGTAAAATGAAGATGGAAAAGAACCTGAAGGCAGGTTTACAAGGCTCTTAAAATAATCTAGGTTTAGGTTTTATATATGAAAAGTTTCTCTGCTAGGGCTATATCATTGAGAATGAAAAGATTATTAATTCAAGGGACATTATGGATTTTGTAACTAACAATATATTAATATTCTTTCAGCTGTATTTAAACTTGAAACAGATAGAAGTATATGGCCCTTGATAAGAATCTATCGGGGCGGCTTTCTTCTGATTGAATTCCTTTTTCTACTGGGCATCAACACGTATGGTTGGAGACAGGCTGGAGTAAACCATGTACTCATCTTTGAACTTAATCCGAGAAGCAATTTGTCTCATCAACATCTCTTTGAGGTAATCAAAGCAAGACATACTACCCCATGAATATAGTTTCTATTAGCTACATAGCTATCTGGTTTCGTGGGTACTTAAATCTATCTTGTACTTGAAGAGGATTAGTGGCTTAATAACTAATCATGTTTCTTACTTTTGTTTTATTAAAGATATTTTAAGTAATGGTAAAAGTAAAAATAATTTTCTCTATCTTTCTGTCTTTCCCATCCTTTACTAGATTGCTGGATTCCTTGGGATATTGTGGTGCCTGAGCCTTCTGGCTTGCTTCTTTGCTCCAATTAGTGTCATCCCCACATATGTGTATCCACTTGCTCTTTATGGATTTATGGTTTTCTTCCTTATCAACCCCACCAAAACTTTCTACTATAAGTCCCGGTTTTGGCTACTTAAACTGCTGGTAAGTCTAGAAACTCATGTACCATTTTTAGAGTGGTTATTGACTTCCTCTGTGATAAAACCAAGGCTGCTAGGTTGTACAACTGCAGAGGCCATGATTCACATTACAGTTTATGTGATTGGTGCCCCAGCTCCAGGGCAAACAATATAGTGTTACTAATAGCCCTGAAGTTGTACAAGATGGAGGCCCTAGGAAAAAGCACTCATGTATCTTTTCCTCCTAAGATCGAGTATCAAGTAGCCAAATAATGAAATGATTTTGCAAATGGTAATCATTGTTTACTTCATTTAACTAGCTGTGATAAGATGTAGAACTTTGTAAGTTTCCTTCCAAAAAAAATGTGGTAAAATTATTATTTTCTTACTAAGTTGATGTGAGTATCAACCCAACATTTTATTTTAGGGAAGATTTGTTCTCTAAAAGCAGTAGGAATATTTTACCAGATTACCAAGTTTAATTTGAAAAATTGACTTTGGGAAGCCAAGGCGGGTGGATCATCTGAGGTCAGCAGTTAGAGACCAGCCTGACCAACATGGTGAAACCCCATCACTACTAAAAAACACAAAATTAGCTGGGAGTGGTGGTACATATCTGTAATCTTAGCTTCTTAAGAGGCTGAGGTAGGAGAATTGCTAGAACCCCAGAGGTGGAGGCTGCAGTGAGCCTTGATTATGCCATTGCATTCCAGCCTAGGCAACTAGAGCAAAACTCCATCTCAAAAAAAAGAAAAATTCACTGATTCTTGTTTATAATAAGTTCCATTTTTTTCTTCCACCTGTTTTTTAGTGATCTCAAAATCATTTAGCCTCAGCAGTGATACAAAGTTTCCTAGAAAAATATAAGGCTTTCTCCTGTAAAGATAACTCTGGATTGGATAGAGACTTCTGCTTACTCGTAAATTAAGCCAGCTCGGTTTTGAAAATTATTTGAGGCCAGACGCGGTGGCTCACGCCTGTAATCCCAATACTTGGGAGGCTGAGGTGAGCAGATCCCTTAAGCCCAGGAGTTTCAAACCAGCCTGGGCAACATGGTGTAAACCCTGTCTACAAAAATTAAAAAATTAGCTGGGTATGATGGTGCCCACCTGTAGTCCCAGCTACTTGTGATGCTCAGGTGAGAGGATTGCTTGAGCCAGGAATGTCAAAGCTACAGTGAACCCTGTTAGTGCCACTACATTCCCAGCCTGGGCAACAGCCTGAGACCCTGTCTCTAAAGGAAAAAAAAGAAACAAATAAAGAAAGTAAGTCAGTTAAGATAACTTTCATATAATTATTTTTTAGCTTATAAATTACAGATGACAATAAAGATTAGTGATTAAATTGACCAATCTCTATACAAACTTTCAGAATTACCATATTTTCTCACCTCTTTTTCACTTTATAGGTATACCTCCTTGAAAACTGTAGTTCCTAATTTTTTTCTTTTGTATGCTCCTTAGGTTAGCAGAGGTTTTTTTATTCTTAGCAAAACATAACAATTTTTTTTTTAATCTGAAGACATGAAATATGGCTTTCTATTAAGAAAATCTGTAGAACCAGGTGTGGTGGCTCATGCCTGTAATCCCAGCACTTTGGGAGGCTGAGGTGGGTGGATCACTTGAAGTCAGGAGTTAAGAGACCAGCCTGGCTAACATGATGAAACCCTGTCTCTACTAAAAATACAGAAATTAGCCAGTTAAAGTGGCAGGTGCCTGTAATCCCAGCTACTGAGAGGCTGAGGCAGGAGAATCACTTGAACCCAAGAGGTGGAAGTTGCAGTGAGCCGAGATGATGCCACTGTACTCAGGCCTGGGCGACAGAGGGAGACTGTGTCTCAAAAACAAAAACAAAAGATAGAAAAGATAAGGTCTCCTTTGTTGCCTGGGATTGTCCCAAACCTCCTGGCTTCAAGTGTTCCTCCCCACCTTGGCCTCCCAAAGTGCTGGGATTTCAGGCATGAGCCACGGTGCCTGGCCATAAAATTATTTTTAAATGAGACTTTGGAAGATTCTGCCAACTCAAGTGTTGCTATGATTGCATAATTATAGTAACAGGATAATATAGTTGTGTACATTGTGTACTAAGTGAGCATTTCCCCAGTGTATCTGCCTTCGTTTAAATAGCAAGCTGGTGTGATTCATACATGACCAGTTAACTCTTATTAGCAGAATGATTCCCCATTGAGTAGACTTTTATCTGTGCATCTGCTGTGTTTTTGTTAACAAATGAGGACTTGTTGATGGAATAGGTTGACAATGATATAAGCAGAAATAGAATAATAAAATGTAATATTGGATACCGTGAAATATAAAAGGAAGCATTGTGTTTTTTTATTTTTGTAGCAACAGTTAGAAGAATGTTACCATTTATAGATCATTTTAGTATTAATTGACCTGTTGACTTACTTTAAATCTCACTGAGAAAATTTGCCCTTAGACTGATTCCTAGTGAATTAACAAGAATGTGTCCTCTCTAGTTATGTTTTTCTGATACCACTTTTTAAAAGCTTAATCCTAAAGTAAAACTGCATTTCTTTCTTTTTTCCTTAATTTTTTTTTTTTGAGACAGGATCTGGCTCTGTTTCCCAGGCTGGAGTGCAGTGGCATGATCTCAGCTCACTGCAGCCTCCACCTCCCAGATTCAAGTGATCCTCCTACTTCAGCCTCTTCAGTAGTTAGGACCACAACATGTGCCTGACTAATTGTTTGCATTTTTAGTAGAGACGGGGTTTTGCCATGTTGCCCAGGCTGGTCTCGAATTCCTGGGCTCAAGTCGTCTGCCTGCCTTTCCTCCCATGCTGGGATTACAGGTGTAAGCCACCATGCCCAGCCTTTTCTTTAATTTTTTAGTGAGAAAAGCGCATGTCATTTAGCCATAGTGGTAGGCACTGGGTACCATTTATGTCCATATTTATATTGGAGTATATGAAATTGATATATGCTATGCTCCCAAAAACAAAGCTAAAAAAGTTTATAAGAAATCTATTTATTTTGATATGAATATTGTATGTCAAATTAGTATAGATTATTTACATCCATTAAGTTATACCTTATCTCCCTAAATCTGTATTTTTACCTCAATTGGCAATCTAATTAGGTAGCATAAACAGTGCTTCAGATTTTATAAACAAAGATATCAATTTATAGTTCAATATATTAAAAAAATCAAAAGTCTATTTAAAATTTTTAAATTACAGTCCTTTGTTATATAATTTAGAAATCATTTTTTACGAAGTTTCTTTAGTTCTGTAGTAAAAATTTTACACGTCTGTTTTAAGAATAGAGAGGTGTTCTCATTTAGTAACTACATATTTTATTTTAAAAATAACCCACAAGTTGGAGCTGCTATTAATTCCCATTTTATAAATGAAGAAACCTACATTCAGAGAAGTTAATTAACTTGCCTAAGGTCACATAGCCAGTGAATGATGAAGATGAGTTAGGAACCCAGGCAGTTGGGCTTCATAATCTATACTCTTAAACACTAACATTTAACACTTAGCCCTATTAGTTATTTTTGTAAGATGTTTAACTTTGATCTAGTGGATGAAACTAGTAGAATATAAAAATCAAATTTAGGGCTGGGCACAGTGCCTCATGCCTATAATCCTAGCACTTTGGGAGGTGGAAGTGGGAGGATCGCTTAAGCCCAGTAGTTCAAGACAAGCCTGGGCAACATGACAAAACCCTCTCTCTATAAAAACTGAAAAATTAGTGGGGCATGATGGCACACACTTGTAGTCCCAGTTACTTGGGAGGCTGAGGGAGGAGGGTTGCTTGAGTCCAGTAGGTTGAGGTTGCAAGGAGATGAAATTGCACCACCACACTCCATGAAAAGTAGAAATTAGAACTTCATCTTCTTAGCTGTTTATCAGTGTTAACTTAAAAGATGATGTTGCCGGGCGCGGTAGCTCAAGCCTGTAATCCTAGCACTTTGGGAGGCCGAGGCGGGTGGATCACGAGGTCAAGAGATCAAGACCATCCTGGTCAACATGGTGCAACCCCGTCTCTACTAAAAATACAAAAAAATTAGCTGGGCATGGTGGCGCGTGCCTGTAATCCCAGCTACTCAGGAGGCTGAGGCAGGAGAATTGCCTGAACCCAGGAGGCGGAGGTTGCGGTGAGCCGAGATCGCGCCATAGCACTCCAGCCTGGGTAACAAGAGCGAAACTCTGTCTCAAAAAAAAAAAAAAAAAGATGATGTTAACATGTCATTTGTAATAACTTATTAGTGGCTTTTTTATGTATATGGTAAAATATCAGATATCCAGAATTGTCTCTGGCTTTCATAATACTGTTACTCTAGGAATTGTCACTTTAATCAAAATCACAGGATAGAAGTGGTAAAGTTGAAAGGCCTTATCCAGATTAAGAAAAGGAGAAGTGAGTTACAGAATTCACTCTGAAGCAGAAATCAGATAAATCTAGAATGGATTTGACTGTGTGTAAATGACAGGGAGTTGAATATGTTTATGTCTCCCTCTCACTCTGCCTCTGATAGAGTGACTTCTTGTATTCTCTGTATTTCCAATGTATTTTGTATATCTCTATAATACGGTGCTATAATTATATCTTTCTGTATTTATTTGCCCAACTAGACTGTGGATCTTTAAGGCCTTTGAGGGTAGAGACTGTTTTATCTCTGTACTGCTGCAATGCCTGACATACTATAAATACTCGATAAGTCTTTGCTAGATAGGTGAATGACTGTAATTATATTTTTTTCTTCATTGGTTATATTATACTAACATTTACGAATCCTTTCTTCCTTTTTTCATTTTCTCTTTTTATAAATTTCCCCTTCTTTTTAGTTTTTTATTTATATCTTCATGTCACTCCTATCCTTTACAAGTCCCATCCCTCCATCTCTTTCTTCCTCATTTAATGCATTATCTTCCTCTTCTGCTCTTATGGAGATTTTCTGAATTAGCCAGGTTTTGAGGATGGAGTTGGCAGAGTGTGAGAGTAATGATAGTCTGTCTCATGTCAGTTAGAAATTTCTCCTAGGCACCAGTTTCATGATTAGAGTTGGATTTAGTGTTATAGCCTAAATTATTCTGTTATTTCTGTCACTTTGAATCCGTTAAGTCCATTCTGCACCTTAGAGTTTCTTAAAATATTACAAAAACTGCTGCCAGAACTTCTTCGTGTATAGATGACTACCATCCTACTCTCTTTCTCTTCCCCACAAAAAGTTTGCTGTATCTAGAGCTTATGGTTGGTATAGACTGTTTCTCTGGTTTATTGAACTCATGGGAAGAGTATGAGAGTGATTAAGAGACTGAGCCATGGAACCAGAATATATCAGCACCAGAAAATAATGTCTCAAAGCCTGTATAATGTCCCACAGACACCTGGTTTAGCTTCCAAAGCTCCAAGAAAGTACCTGTCATAGGTAGTTGGCACCCAGGATTGAGTCATAATATGACCGTTTATCTGCCTGAAATAATAAAGATAAATATTTAGAGAAAGAGTAGAAAGATCCAGCCAAGTCTGAGTAGAGAATTACAGACTCCCAAGTTGAATATGTCTATGAAATGAATATAACTAGATCACTAGAGAGCTAGAGATTAGATTCATTTTCTCAAAACTTCTACTTACTCAGAATTTCTTGTTTCAGGAATCACATTTCCCCCTGTACAAGATAAAAAGGGATCTGATAGGTTGAGGATTAAGTCTTCCTTCATCCCATGTTCATGCAAGGCTTATCAAGACAATCTGCACTATTTGGGCTTATTTCTGGTATTTGCCTAGGTGCCTACTTCCCTTTGCTGCAACGCCAAGATTTCCCTTTGTAGTGATAAACAGGTTTCCACAAAATAGATTAGGAAGAGTCTGTGTTGGTCTTCTGTAAAATGGGGATATGAATAGTTCCTAGCTCATAGAATTGTTATGAGGATTGAATTAAGGCCTGCATAAGCCTTGAAGAAAATATACTGTTTGAGTTACTGCTTAATACATTTAATACCTTTATCATGTGTTCAGAACAGTCAGAAGAGGGCTGGTTTTTGTTGTGTAATTTGAAGATGAACACAGCCATCACCATGGCATTAGTGAAAAGAAAGTGACTTTAGTTAGAGAATGAGGCATGTCTCATATGGTATACTGTCCTTTCCTTCTTATCCTTTGTAAGCAGAGAAGAACTTTGTATTCAGTTAGCTAAGATGAAGAATAGTCTAGACATTATAGCACTTGCATCTCCAGCAAAGCTTCCTAACTTTAGAGCCTCTCAAAGCTTCTATCTTCTGCTATTCTCTCTGCTTTCAACTTTAACTCTTCCCACCTCTTTGCTTTAGAAATTTTCTTTCTTTTCTTTTCTTTTTTTTTGGAGACTGAGTCTTGCTCTGTTGCCAGACTGGAGTGCAATGACACGATCTCAGCTCACTGCAACCTCCACCTTCTGGGTTCAAGCGATTCTCCTATCTCAGCCTCCCAAGTAGCTGAGACTACAGGCGTGTGCCACCATGCCCAGCCAATTTTCCTATTTTTAATAGAGGCAGGGCTTCACCATGTTTGCCAGGATGGTCTCAATCTCTTGGCCTCGTGATCCGCCCACCTTGGCCTCCCAAAGTGCTGGGATTATAGGCATGAGCCACCGTGCCTGGCTTCTATTTTCTTTCCTTCTTTATTTCTTCTTCTTCTTTTTTTTTTTTTTTGATAACATGGGTGAATTTATTTGTTAAGATGTGAGTGCAAACTTAACTACAAAGACAAACAAAGCTTATCATCAATAATAAACACAGAAGCTAAATAATTCTCCAATCATGCATTTTAACAGAAAGTACAAATATGAATACATTATAATTTGTAACTTCATTTAAAAATTAAGCTATCTGTCCAAATCCAAACCACTACACAGTCTTTAATCTGTTCTCTTTTTCTTACCTTAGAAGCATTTGTCATATGCTATCAGGAAAATAGAGGCAAGAATTACTAATCAGTTCTTTATGATCAAAGAAACATTATTGTCATTAACTGTGGCTTTTTGAATCTTTTATAAATACCACACAGTTATACCTCCACTCTTGAGGAAAAAAAAGATGAATACAGAAATCAAGGAGGTTTGACCGTTCATGGAATTAAAGCAAAGTCACAAGTGTTTGACTTAGAAATGTCCATATTGTAAATTTTTAAAGTACAACTTTAGTTGATAGCTGATGTGTATGTAATAATTGTGAACAGTTTAAACAGGTATAAGAATGTGTGAACAAAATCTTTAGACTCAAATACTTGAAAAGTAGCTATGAGTATGGAAAGATTTGTTTACATAAACGTGTATATTTTTAGATGAAAAATTAGAAGGTAGTGGTATCTCCCTGGTCCCTTAACAGTATTTGGATTTTTGCAAAGAATTAGCAGCACCCATGCTTTCTATGTTATAACTAGTTATTCCTGCTTTTTTTCCTCCTTTACTTCCTTTCTTTGTTACCCATTCAACTCATTCCCCTTCACTGCTAATTCACAACCTAGCCACTGTTGCCAGGTCTCTGTGTTTATGACTGATTTGGTTTCCATTTTATCAACTAAAGCAATCATGCTGAACAGTCAGACATGAAATGGAGAAATTTAATATGACTTTTCTTGTTTCTATGTTTTCTGATTTTTTTTTTTTTTTTCTCAGTTTCGAGTATTTACAGCCCCCTTCCATAAGGTAGGCTTTGCTGATTTCTGGCTGGCCGATCAGCTGAACAGCCTGTCAGTGATACTGATGGACCTGGAATATATGATCTGCTTCTACAGTTTGGAGCTCAAATGGGATGAAAGTAAGGGCCTGTTGCCAAATAATTCAGAAGGTAGGGTATGAATTTGCGTCTATATTACTAAATTACCAGTGTAAACCAAGATAATATTGGGAAGGCTAAATGAGAAAATCAAGGTCATGATGAAACTTATCCAATAATATTACAAACTTAATTAAATGTACTTGGCATTCTGTTAGCAGTCTCTTTATCTGATATAATTTGTCTGTCCATTTGCCAAGAGATGTACAACTTACACTTGAAGAATTCTAAAACTTTTTTTGTTAAGTTCTAGTACATTGGTAGTTATATTGCAAATGCTTTCATGCCAACAATTTGTTGTCACAGTATTGCTATATAATGTAACATAGATACCAGTGATCAAAAATACTGATTATTTAGAAATAAATTAAGTGCCTTGAGAGTAATTACAGATTGGTTTTTAATTCTTAGTTGGGATGCTATTTTTCTTCTAGCTTTTTTCCCCACCCTTAGTTTATGTCAGGAGTTCAAGTTATTAAGGAATTTTGCCTTCATGACAAAGATCTAATTTAGATCGACTGTGTGACATGTGACTAACAAAAGTTAATGATGAAGCCAGTGCTGACACATTTTTATTGATTGCCAGTGGATCACAGCTCTGTTATAGTTCGATCATACTCAATTCTGAATTTCAGAATTCAAAGAAAAATTGATTTACCAACTCCATTCTTACTTAAACACACAGTTTGTTCTTGGTTTAAAAAAGAAGGGGAGGTGGATGTACAAGAGCATGTGCTCTTGGGTGTCTTGTGTTGTTGGTGGTTTGGAATTTACAGAATTGTCTAGAATCACTGGTGATACTTGTAGGTTTTCCAGATGTTTCAAATTACGGAGCCAACCCATTTTTCCCTCCTTCTATTAGCATACTCATCTTCTAATTTTCTTACAGTTTTATCACACTCCGAAGAGACGGATTCAAATTTCCCCACTAGTTCCCCTCAATATGTTTTACCTTCTCTCCTTGACTTATCCACCACTAAAATGCTTGAGAATAAGCTGGGCGCGGTGGCTCACGCCTGTAATCCCAGCACTTTGGGAGGCTGAGGTGGGCGGATCACTTGAGGTCAAGAGTTTGAGATCAGCCTGGCCAACATAGTGAAACCCCATCTCTACTAAAAATACAAAAATTAGCTGGTGTGCTGGTGTGCACCTGTAATCCCAACTACTCCGAAGGCTGAGGCAAGAGAATCACTGGAACCCGGGAGGTGGAGGTTGCAGTGAGCTGAGATTTTTGCCATTGTACTCCAGTCTGGACCACAGAGTGAGACTCAGTCTCAAAAAAAAAAGCTTGAGATGTATAATAGTTGCAAAGAAGAAAGTGATTCTGAAACCTAGGTTTCTTGCTTTTTTAGGCTTGGTAGTGGCTACACTATATGGCTGAGTGATGTGAATGAAGTTATTTTTTTAATTGTAATTTTTCTTCTTTGAAATGTTTACAGAATCAGGAATTTGCCACAAATACACATATGGTGTGCGGGCCATTGTTCAGTGCATTCCTGCTTGGCTTCGCTTCATCCAGTGCCTGCGCCGATATCGAGACACAAAAAGGGCCTTTCCTCATTTAGTTAATGCTGGCAAATACTCCACAACTTTCTTCATGGTGACGTTTGCAGCCCTTTACAGCACTCACAAAGGTATTCTGTGATTGACTATGACGATACTTTTTTTTAAAGCTGGATTTTTACTACCGGAAAATCTATTTCTTACTCTGGTTACTTTTCCGTTTGTCATGCTCCTTTTCTTTTCCACTGAAATTTCAGTTCCTTTAGTTATACCAGTTTGTTCTTGAATGCAGTTTTAGTCTCATCCAGTATCTACTGATAAACTAGCATTGAAAAAAAGCACAGTCAGCTAGAATAAGAATTTGTAATAATGTTTAAAATCTTGAATTATGTCTAATGGGTTTAATCTATGGATATCTTGGGTTTCCATTTGTTTTTAGACTTCCTTGTTCATTAATGAGGTTGGGAAATGGGTTGGTGAAAAAAAATTCCCTGTGGCAATCAAGTATATTTTTAATCGCTTTCCTTCACCATGTAGTAAGAATTGTTTCCAGCCCATTTAACTGCAAATTGAGTTCTCTGATTCCTCTAGTTTCTCATCTCCATGGCAACCTATTATTACTTGAGACTGCTCTTCTGTTGGGAGGAGAAAAGGCTTTTAAGTTCTGAGCTACATGTAGTCACTCCTTTTGAATTTTTAACCTTTTTCCAAGAACTGTCAGTCAATGATCTCAGATCTCACTTCCTTTTAGTAAAATGCATTACATCTTTGTCTTTTTAAGTCAGTATCAGCCCACACCTTAGATGCTGCACTTTCTCATCTGTAGGTTGTAAAGAGATCTTACTAATTGAAATTATTAGTTATTTTTAAATACTTTGTAAAAAAATTTTTTTCAGTGATTTTTTTTTTCTTAATTGAGAGGCTGTATTTTAGGAGCTTTGGCTAGTGCTACAAAATTGCTGCTAATCTAAAGTGTGTCTAATGGTCATAAAAGATCAGAACATTGCTTCAATAAACCTTGAGATTTGATGCAGCAGAAGATATTTATAATATAATTCCACTTTTTGTGGTAGATTCTGCGGTTAGAGTAGGATTGATAAATGTAGCCAATAATTTTGCCACCATGTGGGCATTCTTGTTAAATGATATAATTTAACTAAGTATGTTAGTGAAGGAACCACATCCCCAAAGCTCCCATAATTTTAACTCATACTGTGGAATGCTGTCGTTAAGTCTAGGCACGTATCATAATTCAGAAGGTTGTTACTAGAGAATTTATAAATTGGGCAACTGATTTAATACATGATATTTATGACTCCTTTTACTAAATTATAAAGAGCACTTTACTTTTCTTCCATCCCAGGTAAAAATGAGTGCTGTTGTTTTGGTTGAATATTTTAGAACATGATATACCTTTAACTACAGTTGACTCTTAAACAACTTGGAGATTAGGGGCACCAACCTCCCACACAGTTGAAAATCCAGATAACTTAACTTTCAAAAATTTCACTACTAATAGTTACCATTGACTGGAAGCCTTACTGATAAAATAAGCAGTCTATTCACATATATTTGGTATGTCATGTATTATATACTATACTCTTATAATCAAGTAAACTAGAGAAAAGAAAATTTTATTAAGAGCATCATAAGAAAGACAAAGTATCTTTCCTATTCATTAAGTGGAAATGGATAGTCATGAAGGTGTTCACCCTTGTCATCTTCACATTGAATAGGCTGCTGAGGAGGAGGAAGAGGAAGAGTTGGTCTTGTTATCTCATGGGTAGTGGAGGCAGAGGGAAATTTGTATGTAAGTGGACCTGTGAAGATCAAAACCATATTATTCAAGGGTCAACTGTATACTGATAGCATTCAGTAAAAAGCTGAAAATCCAAATTCTTCAAATCTGTGAACAGCCCAAATCTAAAACGTCTAAACTAAAAATGTAGTATTTTAGATGGTATTGTGGGCTTAAGACATTTCATACTCATGTACTCCTTCAAAGAGTTTTATTAAACCATATTATCTTTTGGACATTTTTAAGTTTACAACGGAAATTTTTTATCTTAAGTTTAAATAATTACAAAAAAAATGCAGTTTCAGTCTATTTTAAATGTTCACATTTTAAAATAAAACCGCTGAATATTTCCAGTGCAGTAGTCAGAACATTTCCCATCTCTTTGCTCTTAAACTATAATGTAATATATCTTTATTTTCATGTAATATATTTTTGTTTAATGTCTTGTCTGCTACATAAACATGTAAATTGAAATTAAATTATTTCTGTCACTAAAAGATTAATTTGTTTTCTGCTCTGGGTTGTAATTATCATTACCCTGATTATTACAGTTGATCAGTACTACAAATTATTACAAATTTTTATAAGTAATTATTGCAGATAGACATTTCTTAATGAGATAAATTTATGTTATTACTGTTTCCTTTTTCAGTCTCTGTATAAGTAAACTGAGAAATCTTGTGGCTAGTGGAGGAGAAGGGAAAGGTTTTGTTGTTGCAGTACCGCCCAGTCTTATAAGTTCAGTGAGTTATTTACGGGTTATTTGCCAATTATGAGTTATTTGTCCAAAAAATTGCATAGTTATCTATCATCAGTAAATATTTTAGTGATTAGATTTTCTTGGTTGAAAGCAAAGAGTTGAAAATAAATAAAGAATTGAACATAAACTGAATGACAAAGATTTGATAACCAGGCATTGGAGTCATTAACTTTCTAACTTGACAGTAGACCATCAACCATCATAAGATTATTTATTTTAGAAGCTCTTTGTCTAACCCAACATATGCAAATAATTGTTAGGAAAATAAAAATATTGTTAATTTCAGTACACATTTGCCAGTGCAAAATTTTACGAAATACTTTTTTTTTTGAGATGAAGCCTTGCTGTGTCTCCCAGGCTGGAGTGCCGTCGCGCGATCTCAGCTCGCTGCAATCTCTGCCTCTGGGTTCAGGCGATTCTTCTGTCTCAGCCTCTCAAGTAGCTGGGACTACAGGCCCATGCCACCATGCCCAGCTAATTTTTGTATTTTTAATAGAGATAGGGTTTCACCATATTGGCCAGGCTGGTCTAAAACTCCTGACTTAGTGATCTGGAATTATAGGCGTGAGCCACCGCGCCCGGCTGAAATACTTTTATTATATTCTTTAAATGTGTTTTTGAAAAAAATCTGGAACTACAGATTCCACTCATCTAACCTATGGAGAATATCTGTAATATACCTGTAGAGGAGGAAAAACTTACTCCTCTACCCTCTTAAGTAATTGAGACCTGCAAATGAAATTGACAGAAGGTAGATTAATAGGAGAAAAGGTTTGTTATATATACAGAGATCTTCATAGAAAAGAAGACCCAAAAGAAGTGTTTAGACCAGGGAGTGGAGGGGGCTCATATACCATTTTTACAAACAGTGATAAATTGTGAAAAATTAAGTTTAGAGAAAGGTAGGTGGTTGGGCTTCTGGGTGGTAAATTGTGAAAAGGGAAATATATGGGGATTCTAATGAAAGAAAAGGTTTATTTAGTAATGTCTGTTATGCAGACTAAAGTGGATGTCTTCTCCACTGATAAGCGTCATTGCTGGTGATGAAGTGTTGCCCTTCTCTTCCTGGTATGAGAGTGAGACACCTTTACAAATGGAAATTTATATTATATTTACAGAAGGAATTTATTCCCTGCTTTTGACAAAAAGAGTGAGGGCAGAGATATTCTCCTTCATCTGCCATTTCTCATTTGCCTTCAGCTCAAAATAATCCTTATGCCAAAATGGCATTTTTGGGGATATATTAGGATCCTCTTCATCCCGTAATTGGGAAATCAGTCAGACAAGTGGAAGAAATTTTGACTTCAGATTAATGTATATGTATCTCTTCCTGTGTAAGCACCTCATTCTTTCATTCCTTTTTTTTTTTCTTTTTTTTGCTTTTTTCTGTCGCTTTTTTTTTTTAATAATATGGAGGCTTACCTAGGCTTGAGTGCAGTAGCGCCATCTTGGGACACTGCAACCTCTGCCTCCTGGGTTCAAACAATTCTTCTGCCTCAGCCTCCCGAGTAGCTGGCACTACAGGTGTGTGCCACCACTTCTGGCTAGTTTTTTTGTATTTTTAGTAGAGATGTGTTAACCAAGATGGTCTCGATCTCCTGACCTTTTGATCCACCCACCTCAGCTTCCCAAAGTGCTGGGATTACACTATGCCCAGCCACATTCCTTCATTCTAATTCTGAAGGCTTGAGTTAGATGCATGACCAGGTAGATAGGTAGACAGGCAGGCAGAACAAGCATTCATTCAGCAAATACTTATTAAGAATATTTTATGTAACATACTATGTTAAGTACTAAAAATAGAGCAACAAAACACAACACAATTCTTGCCCTTAATAATTTATAATCTAGTAGGGGAATAGACAAAGGAAAAAGGCATTAATTGATTTCACAACAGTGTCAATATTCTTAATGTTGCTGTTAAGTATATAGAATATAAAGAGATAAGCAGGATACTAAAGAACCTCCAGCATAGGTCTCTAAATCAGTCCCCTAGGCCTCAGGATGGGAGGAAGACTTCTGCAAGGTAACGTCTAAGCTATATCCTATTTATATTAAGTTAAGGAAGATTTTAGTTATCCCAGTATGTGCCTTGCTCAAGGCCATGTAATTTGTGAGTCGTGGAGGTGTAGTAATTCTCAGTTCTGTCCTTCAGCCTAGGAATATTTTTTTTTCCAAAGCTGCATCTTTAAAGTAGAGATAACAGTACCTAGAATAGGTTTCACAGGTTTGTCATAAGAAGTAAGTAAGAGGGCACATGAAATCACCTTAGACTCTAACATGCTGCATAAAGGGAATTTATGATAAAATGAAATATTTTCTTTGCTGACTAGAGCTGCTACATGTGTGTCTTCCTTTATAGAGTCTTTTTAAGAGAAACCCTCTATGACTGTTTTGAGCAAGGGACTTAAATAGGTCAGGTATTGATTAGAAATGTTTGGCTTTTTGCCCAAGTAACATAGCTACTTACTCACTGAACACTATTCAGTATCCCAGTCAAAGTTTTTTGAAAACCAGAAACAGAAACATTTTTTAGATGGACCATTGGTTGTATATCTTAATCACATTGCTAA